TACTTTACATCAGAAGATAGTGGAGATGTGGAACCTTCAGGCTGAGCAAAGTTTGGGAGTTTTTAGAGTTTGAAAAATGACTCCCGCCTAGAGGCTCCCAGTCAGGGAGAGGAGGAGATGTGCGCAGCATGAAGGGCGCAAATATCAGATAAAACGTATAATTGTTGGCAGGTCTGGTCTTTGTTGACTGATCACTTTGTCTGGTCATGACTGACTCTGATTATGAAGCAGAATATTGACTCTCGTCTCGTCTTCCTCCGCTTATCCGGGTCCGGGTCGCGGGGGCAGCATCCCAACTAGGGAGCTCCAGGCCGTCCTCTCCCCGGCCTTGTCCACCAGCTCCTCCGGCAGGACCCCAAGGCGTTCCCGGACCAGATTGGAGATGTAACCTCTCCAACGTGTCCTGGGTCGACCCGGGGGCCTTCTGCCGGCAGGACATGCCCGAAACACCTCCCCGGGGAGGCGTCCAGGAGGCATCCTGACCAGATGCCCAAACCACCTCAACTGGCTCCTTTCGATCCGGAGGAGCAGCGGTTCTACTCCGAGTCCCTCCCGAATGTCCGAGCTCCTCACCCTATCTCTAAGGCTGAGCCCGGCCACCCTACGGAGGAAACTCATTTCGGCCGCTTGTATCCGCGATCTCGTTCTTTCGGTCATTACCCAAAGCTCATGACCATAGGTGAGGATTGGGACGTAGATCGACCGGTAAATCGAGAGCCTGGCTTTCTGGCTCAGCTCCCTCTTCCCCACGACAGATCGGCTCAGCGTCCGCATCACTGCTGACGCCGAACCAATCCGCCTGTCGATCTCCCGATCCCTCCTACCCTCACTCGTGAACAAGACCCCGAGATACTTAAACTCCTCCACTTGAGGTAGGACCTCTCCCCCGACCCGGAGGTGGCAAGCCACCCTTTTCCGGTCGAGAACCATGGTCTCAGATTTGGAGGTGCTGATCCTCATCCCAGCTGCTTCACATTCGGCCGCGAACCTACCCAGTAAGAGCTGAAGGTCAGAGCTGGATGAAGCTAGGAGGACCACATCATCCGCAAAAAGCAGAGACGAGATTCTCCTGCCACCAAACTCGACACACTCAACACCACGGCTGCGTCTAGAAATTCTGTCCATAAAAGTGATGAACAGAACCGGTGACAAAGGGCAGCCCTGGCGGAGTCCAACCCTCACTGGGAACAGGTCCGACTTACTACCGGCTATGCGGACCAAACTCACGCTCCTCTGGTAAAGGTACTGAATGGCTCTTAACAGAAAGCCACCCACCCCATACTCCTGGAGCGTCCCCCACAGGGTGCCCCTGGGGACACGGTCATAAGCCTTCTCCAAATCCACAAAGCACATGTGGATTGGTTGGGCAAACTCCCATGCCCCCTCCATCACCCTTGCAAGGGTATAGAGATGGTCCACAGTTCCACGGCCAGGACGAAAACCACATTGCTCCTCCTCTATCTGAGATTCAACTATTGATCGGACCCTCCTCTCCAGTACCTTGGAGTAGACCTTTCCAGGGAGACTGAGGAGTGTGATCCCCCTATAGTTGGAACACACCCTCAGGTCACCCTTCTTAAAGATGGGGACCACCACCCCGCTCTGCCACTCCCTAGGAACTGCCCCCGATGACCACGCAATGTTGTAGAGACGTGTCAACCATGACAGCCCTACAACATCCATAGCCTTGAGATACCCAGGACGAACCTCATCCGCCCCCGGGGCTCCGCCGCTGTGTAGTTGTTTGACTACCTCAGCAACTTCTGCCCCCGAGATCGGACAGTCCATCCCCAGGCCTCCCAGCTCTGGTTCCTCCTCGGAATGCGCATTGGTGGGATTGAGGAGCTCCTCAAAGTATTCCTTCCACCGTCCGACTATAGCCTCAGTTGACGTCAGCAGCTCCCCATCCCCACTGTAAACAGTGTGAGCGAGTTGCTGCCTTCCTCTCCTGAGGCGCCGGACAGTTTGCCAGAACCTCTTTGGAGCCGATCGATAGTCTTTCTCCATGGCCTCACCAAACTCCTCCCACGCCCGAGATTTTGCCTCGGCAACTGCCACTGCTGCACCCCGCTTGGCTATCCGGTACCTGTCTGCTGCCTCCGGAGACCCACAGACCAGCCACGCCCTGTAGGCCTCCTTCTTCAGCCTGACGGCTCCCCGAACCTCTGGTGTCCACCAGCGGGTACGGGGGTTGCCACCACGACTGGCACCGGCCACCTTACGACCACAGCTAGCAACAGCCGCCTCGACAATCGCAGAGTGGAACAAGGCCCACTCGGACTCAATGTCCCCCACTGCTCTCGGGACGTGGTCAAAGCTCTGCCGGAGGTGGGAGTTGAAGACCGTCTTGACAGGTTCTTCTGCCAGGCGTTCCCAGCAGACCCTCACTATGCGTTTGGGTCTGCCAGGTCTACGCGGCATGTTCCCTTGCCATCTGATCCAACTCACCACCAGGTGGTGATCAGTTGACAGCTCTGCCCCTCTCTTCACTCGGGTGTCCAAAACATACGGCCGCAGGTCAGATGATACGACTACAAAATCTATCATCGACCTGTGACCTAGGCTGCCCTGGTACCAAGTGTACCGGTGGGCATCCTTATGTTCGAACATGGTGTTCGTTATGGCCAAACTGCGGCTTGCACAGAAGTCCAATAACAAAACACCGCTCAAGTTCAGATTAGGTGGGCCGTTCCTCCCAATCACACCCCTCCAGGTCAAGCTGTCATTGTCCACGTGAGCATTGAAGTCCCCCAGCAGGACAATGGAGTCCCCTGATGGAGCACTATCTAGCACTCGTCCCAGGGACTCCAAAAAGGGTGGGTACTCTGAACTGATATTTGGCCCATAAGCACAAACAACAGTCAGGACCCGTTCCCCGACCCGAAGGCGCAAGGAAGCTACCCTCTTGTCCCCCGGGGTAAACCCCAACACACAGGCAGAGAGTCTCGGGGCTAACAAAAAGCCAACCCCAGCCCTCCGCCTCTCACCCGGAGCAACTCCAGCAAAGTAGAGTGTCCAACCCCTCTCCAGGTCTCGGGTTCCAGAGCCAATGCAATGTGTCGAGGTGAGTCCGACTATATCTAGCCGGTACCGCTCAACCTCTGCCACAAGCTCCGGCTCCTTCCCCGCCAGCGAGGTGACGTTCCATGTCCCAAAGACTAGTTTTCTTGTCCGGGGATTGGACCGCCAAGGCTCCCGCCTTGGTCTGCCACCCGATTCGCATTGCACCGGACCCTTCATGTTCCTCCTGCGGGTGGTGGGTCCACAGTTGGACGAGCCCATGTATCCGGTTCGGGCTGGGCCCGGCCGGGCCCCATGGGCGAAAGCCCGGCCACCAGGCGCTCGCTCACGGGCCCCAACCCCAGGCCTGGCTCCAGGGTGGGACCCCGGTAACCCTCCGGGCCGGGTACTCCGACTCTTCGTTTTAACCGCCATGAAAGATCCTTCGAACCGTTCTTTGTCTCACCCTTCACCTAAGACCAATTTGTCATGGGAGACCCTACCAGGGGCACTAAGTGCCCCAGACAACATAGCTCCTAGGATCATTAGGGCACTCAAACTCCTCCACCACGATAAGGTGACGTTTCAAGGAGGAGAGAATAGAATATTGACTCTGATGAAGAAATTCACTCATCCAGCCGGGATGCTGCAGCATCAGACAGCTGGTGCTGCACGAGAGGTGTGTTGAGTTTACAAGCTCCAAACGTTGAGTCTGATGTTGGTTTAACCTTCTCTGGGACGTGATGGATGTATAAACGATGGTAAAACACCGCTAACGTGACAGATGTAGCGACAACGTAAAAAAAAAAGCCGTAAAAAAGAGGCAGATGCCGATGTGTTTTGTATGGAAGTCAAGTGTGCCACATAATCATAAAAAAATTAAAATATACAATTTTAAGAGAGATTTATATATGTATATATAAATAAAAACTTTCCACACATAATGAAAATATCTAAATAACGTAAAAATACGAAGGAACATCTGTTGGTCAGGCTGAAAAGTTTGGGAACCACTGCTCTAAGTGATAAGTGAATATTGTTTTTTAAATGTATTTTATGTGCAGTTTTTTAGGGCTTTCATGTTTTCTGTAAAGATTGGTATGCTGAAAATCATTTAATGTTTTGCATAAAGCATGAGGTTTTGGTTAGTAATTGGAAGAATAACAAATGACTGAATTAAATAGTGGAGCGCCTCTGTCAGTGTGCCCCAGGGCAGCTGTGGCTACATCATAGCTCATCACCATCAGTGTGTGAATGGATGAATGATACACTGTAGTGTAAAGCACTTTGGAGTCCTTACTCTGAGAGGCGCTATACAAGTGCGGATCATTTATCATTTATAGTGTTGATCAGGCAGAGCTGTGTTGCCAGCGTTCCACTGCATAATGGCTTCAGACGCGTATACAATAGTTTTTACGTAAACCATTGGAGGAAATTACACAAACTGAGCTCTAGTTAAGGTGCTTGCAATAGTGTGTGTGTGTATGTGTGTGTGTGCGCGCGCATGTGTTTGGGGGAGGGTACATTGGAACATTCCCCCCCCCCCCCCCCCAGTTTGAAAATCCTATCTGTGCCCCTGTATATACACAATTTAAAAAGTAAAAGGCTTGTTATACAAAAATATAACTTCACCTCCTGTGGAGTAAGTCTGTTCCATTTTAATCGTTTTCTTTGACCAAGGAAGAACAGTGTCCTCAAAAGAAAGGCGCCAGGCCTAGCAAGGCAATGACTTGGTGCCTTAATATTGAAAAACACACAGTGATTTTTTTTCCCCTTCAAAAGTCTAATTTAGGTTTGGGGCTTTTCAGAAAACATCCGGGGCTTGAGCCCAAGTGGCCACCTCCTAACCCCACTTCTGCATTACCGTAAAGTGGAATTATGTATTTATTTAAAATGAAATTTTAGACACTTATTTTGAAAGTTTCAGAAGTAAAAAGGAAATTTAAGTAAAGCTAATCTGATGCAACTTTTTACTCTAAAGAGATACTAATACGACTCACCGGGCCGTTTCCGCTCACAAGCATGTTCGTGCGGAGTTGACTTCCTGCTAAGCTAATCCGTTTCTCCGCCTCAGCACCGCGAGTTTGTTTGGTTTATGAACAAACAGCTGCAGGTGCTCGTGCATTCGTGTATGGCAATCCGATTGGATCGAAATCCGTTCACTTTTGAGCAGGTTTTGTTGTAAAACGGCGTTCAAATCTCCGTTTTTAAACTTCCAACGCCGAAAAACCAGTTGAAAATCCCTTCAGAACGTCGTCTTCGTGAAGTTTTCAGAGCACCGTAAAAACGACGTATTTTCTGGTCTCTGAACACCGCACAGAGGCACTCTGAACACATCCTCCAGCCAACGGTAGAGCTGCAGTCTCCCTGTGACGTTAACGTGTGTGTCCCGTAGGTTCCAGGAGCGGAATAAACGACTCACACCGGAGCTGCGTTTCACCTGAGCTTTTTGCTGCGCAGTGCGCACCGAACTACGAACGATCTGTTTGCAGCCGAAGCTTCGGCTCATGTTTCAAATACACCAAAACAGAAGAGTTATGCTCCCTCATAGCGCTGGGCTCCCTGAGGTCAAGGTTTCTTACTTCCTGTTTAATCTTTTCACAATAAAAGCACAAATTCATAAATACAGGCAATAAAACAACACACAGCGTTCCCTATATTAAGGATTAACGATGTTCGGAAGAACCAGTTCTCTCTGAGCCAGGCTGGGCTGTGGGGTGGGGGGAGATCCAGCAATCAAAGGGAAAGCTGACCACGACACCCGGCTTCCGGAGACTATAGGACCGCAGCGGCTGGAGGGCAGACATCCGTCTCTGGTTTTCACATCGGCGCAGACTTCAGCTGACTGTTGCGGCCACTTCCGATATGTCAAGAAAGCTTCAAAGGACAGAAGTGTGCGCTGATTGCAGTGCTCCAGGTAGGCAGCGGGGTAAATAAAAACGGAACAATGCCAGGGGAGGGCTAACGGGGCCGGGGATGCTGCCACTGTGGGCTTTCAGAGCAGGAAACGGCCGGGAGTGTCGTCAACTAGGCCCCAGACAAACCGTGAAAAATAGCTGAACGCCGCTACACCGCGGTTAAAAGCCCTGTACCTGTTTATAAGGACGATAACACACATCTGTAGCAGGTTACTGGTGGTGGCTAATAGAGTTTGCCTTTGTTGTTAGCTTAGCTTAAGCTGCTAGCCACTCCAGCCAGGCTGATCCGGAGTTTGAGATTAAAGTCGTGTCGTGAAAATTGAGACGTGATAAAAGTTTGCATGAGTGTCGCAGCAGTGTCCCTTAGGCAAGGGGACCAGTAAAACAACTCTGACCCCCGAGTGGTTTGGTTATCATGAGTCAGCGTCATCCGGATGAGGTTTTGTCACTTTTAGGAGCATCATTACGGTTCTTCAGCCTAACTGGTCCCTGTTGCATCAGAAGGTCTGATCACTCCAACTCCTGTTTATGTGGCATCAGCAAAGCTTCTCTTTCCAGACCAGCAGCAGGTTTCTGACTGGAGCTGACAGAAGACAGCACATCACTCCCGTTCTGATCAGGATTAACTGCAAAGTCCTACTGCTTGCAATCAAATGTTTGAAGTCAGGCCCCTCCCTATCTAAGTGAACTCCTCCATTTCTACCACCCCTCTGGTGCTCTTAGGTCTGCAGATAAACTCCTCCTCACCGTCCCTAAGGCATGTTTGAGGGCTTTTTGTATCTGTGCCTCGAAACTTTGGAGTTCCCCACCCCTTCCTGTTAAGCCGGGCGTACACTGTGCGACTTTTTCACTTTTTTGAGCCGATTTTCCACTCGTGCGAGAATCCACGACATCGGGGCGAGTTTTGCGCCGAGCGTCGTGTAGTGTACAGGGGGTTACGAGAGGCGATTAAGGCCTAGTCCACACGTAGCCGGGGTTTTTTAAAATCGAATATCCGCCCCTCCAAAAACTCGCATCCACACCACTGCGTTTTAAAAACAAACTCTGTCCACACGTACCCGGATAAATACGTTGTTAAGGACATGCCAGACTTGTAGGCGGCAGTACTTCCCCCGTTCTTAACCTCGTCCTTCGTCTGTGGTCTTCTGCAAGGAGGTGTAATTCTGCTTGCAAAAACAAACAAGCAAAAAGCGCTTGGACAATTGATGGATCGGGTAATGACAGAGCGCAGCTCTGAGGGCATCCATGATGTCGGCTAGTGTAAACACAGGTCGCACACGTGATGTCAGCATTTTTTGTCGCGGAAAGTGACGTTGCGGACCTTAAAACTCCGGTTTTGTCCGTCCACACGCAGACACCCAAAACGGAGAAAACGCAGATCTTCACTTTGGCCGGAGTTTTTAAAAAGATCCGTTTTCGTGTGAAAAAGCTCCGTTTTCGTGTGGATGACAGGCCAAAACGCAGAAAAATATCTACGTTTTGGCAGATCCCCGGCTACGTGTGGACAGGGCCTAACACCACGTGACCAGCTGCCGATCAGCAGTCGTGAGGTCGCACGGACTTCTGGCGTGTTTAAAATTTTGCTCGTCCCTCGTGAGGGTATGGCACTGTTGAAGCGGAGCTGCGAGCAGCTGCAACCCAAAAAGTATCAGAACCGCTCACGGCGCATGCGCAATCCTGCATCAACGCCGCTTGCTCGCTATTTCCCTAATAACACGCTGTTCGCTTTTATTTCTACACGTTTTTTTACTCACAAAGATTGTCAAGAAAGCGTGTTTGTCGTGTTCATGTCAAATTAAACTGATCACAAAACACAGATTTACTTTCTTTTAGGGCAGGGTGATACGCCCAAAAAATAAAATCTCCGATTTTATTTTCTTTAATTCGATTTCCGATTTTTTCCGATTACACCCCCCCCCCCAAGAAAAGGACACCAACAAGTACAAACAGCAGACCACTTGAAGCTACTTTTGCTTTTATTTAATCAAAAGCAAAACGTGTAATGCTCTTCAGGGATGAATGGCGAATAACTGAAAACCCTCTTGGAATCAAAGTGCCAGGTGTGTTTTGAGTCATACTCTGTTGTCTAGAGTGAAATGTGACAAACATTCCCATTAGAGTAACACCATTTTCTCAAACATTAACAATACGTTCAAATACAGGTAAAACTAAACCAACCCAAACAGTGCGACAACTAACAGGGATAAATGCATCATACTTTTCAATCCAAAAACAGAGAAAAAAAATTATCTGTCTTTAACTTGCAATTACGGTAAAAGATTTACTTTGCATATAATTTTAAATAAAAACATAAGTGCAAAACTTCTTTCTTGGGTAAAATACTAATGTAAACAAAAATTAAGAGTACAAAAATTGCAAAATAAACAATATTCAACTCCAACTGAAAAGTGCCAACTTTTGTTAAAAAAATAACTTTAACAAACGATTTGTGTCCCTGAATGTAGAAACAGGAGAGAAAAATCACATTTTGATTGAGCTGCTGAACATGAGATCTGTGCTTAAGTTTGGGTCAATAACATTTATATATTTTTGGCAAGGAAAATCAGCCTGTCCACTGCCTCTGGCTTGAGGCAAGCTCGGCTGCATTTGACAACTCATCCTGCCGCACTGAATAGCCTCTCAGATGGGGCACTTGTTGCAGGGAGACTGAGGTATTTCTTGGCCAGGTGACTGAGCCTCGAGAAGTTTGATTTGTTGCTCTTCCACCATTGCAGTGGATCAGTGTCAGGATCTACCTCTGGGATGAGCATATAAGTTGCAAGTTCAGTCTCTATTTTAGCCTCTTCCGACTGGTCAGGGCCAGGGGTTGGCACACTCTTCTTGAAGAAAGTTGCTAAGGTCTTTTTCCTCTTGGGATTTGGCTGAGGCCTTGCCTCTTGGTCCACCTGCACAACTGGACCAGGCTGTGGTGTGCTTTTGTCAGTGGGGAAAGACAGAAGTTCACTGACAGCTCTTCTTTTGATTTGCTCCACCTTGTCTGGGTCGATGTAGGATGTCCGGAATCTTGGATCCATCAGAGAGGCCATGTCCAGGAGTTCATCTTTGACAGGATCACTGTATTTGTTAACAAGGTATCCCAGTATGTTGCTTTTGATTGTTTTGGTAAGCTCTGTGTCGTTGTCCTCAGGCTGCAAAAGACTTGTTTTGAACAGATGGATAACAGGCTTGATGTATGAGACACTAACATACATTTCCCCTGATAAAGCATCTGTAAAATCTTGGAGTGCTTTAACCGCCTTGTTTACTCACTCCAAAACCTCGATGTCTTGCCAAGAGGGCAAGAGATGGCGGCTTTTAACTTCAGACCCCAGGACACGGGCAATAGCCTTCTCCTGTTCCAGGAATCGCTCGATCATCTTTTGGCGGGAGCCCCACCTGGTTGGAGATTCTACTATAAGCTGATGAGGGGGAAGGCTCAGCTCTGACTGAGCCAAACCCAGCTCTCTTCTTTTCTTCCAACTGTAGGAAAAAGCAGCAACTATCTTCTTGCAAACTCCAATGGCTCGGTCTATGCGGGTATCCTTAACACCATTCTCTGTATGATAAAGAATAAAACACAAAGACATGCATCGCTATTGGGGACTTGAATAAACAACTACATCCACCTAAAAATGATTTCTTCTGTATGTCTACTTATGTATGAACATAGTAACACCTGCAGTCGTTACACTGAATATATGTTTGGTGTATATTATTTTTATGTTTTAATCCATGGGCAGAACTTTGCAGCAGCACAGTGATAAATAAGCACAAATACTATTAATAAATTTAGAAGAAAGAGTATTCAACAGGACACATGATTAATATGAGCAGAATTCTGTGCCATTAGGAACTGAATTTGAATTACTCCAGGTTGAAATACAATTTTCAGTTTCAGAAGCAAATTTAAATAAGCTAAACTGAACCTGGGGGGAGGGGGGTGAAAGTGAGCGTTTGGAGGCTCAATTTGCAGTAGAATAAAATACATTTTTAAACCAAATTAATCCATTTTCATAATACAAAACTATTTCAATTTAATGACAATCAATTCCAAACTGAACTTTGAACTTTACCCTCTCAACAGGAAATCTTTATTCAACTTTCCAGTGTCAAACTGGTAGCATTTATGTTTACCTGCCGCTCCTGCAGTGTCACACTCAAAAACCTCCGGGCGGAACACAAACTATCATTGCAATTTCCATTGCTACAGTAGTGAAAGACGAGCATCATCCAACTTGGCTGTGGTTTGATGTGCTCTGTCGAAATGTAAGATTTTATTTTACTTATTGTCAGACTTACCGATAGCGTTGTGTAGTTTGTGTCCAAAGCACTGGAGGTTTGGCCATCCGTTCACCTTCAGGGCTTTAATCATGTTGGTCCCGCTGTCAGTCGTCATGCAGGATAGACGATTCTCAGACAGGTTCCAGCAGTCAAGAGCGTCTCTCAGTCCTTTGGCGATAAGTTCACCGGTGTGGTCCTCGGGAAAGTATGACGTTTGGAGGGAAATACTACGTAAATCCCACACGTTGTTAATGAAATGCACCGTTAAACTCATATACGGCTGCATAGTTCAACTGCTCCACATGTCGGTAGTTGCCGAAAAAAAGGACAGCTCCTCCAGTTCTCTGCCAACTTTTTTGCGTGTGTTTCTGTACAGCTGCGGCAAGACTACTTCACTGAAATACTTTCGGCTGGGTAGCTCATACCTGGGATCCAATGTTTTCATCAAATTTATAAACCCCCGTCTTCTCCACGGTATACATGGGTACCATGTCTTTTGCTATGTACAAAGCGACCGCGTCGGTGATTGTAGTCCACCGGGCCCCTTTCTTTTCATATGCGGTCCCCTGTGCGAACGATTCGGCTACAGTTAGCTGTATTTTAGCCACTGGTTCTTGGTCACTGCGGCTCTGTTCATCTCGGAGAGACTGGCATTTTTCGTGTTCGGCTTGATGCCTCTGTTTAAGGTGTTGAAACAAGTTAGTGGTGCTGCTGCCTT